ACAGGTCATAGCAGGAAACTTGCTCATTTAGTATGTAAAAAATGGGTCTGATATTGAAAGAACAGTTTAGGACATTTAAATAACAGGTATCAACACACCTGTCAGATTCTTCAAACCAGTTCAGGACAGGAGCAGGCACTGGGGTGTGATTTATTATCATCTCTCAAACCTGCTCCTCTCCACTTCAGATAGATTCATGAAAACACCAGCAAAGTGCTCCTATGGAGCACCTAATATGGCTGGACCCTGTTGTGGAAAGGTTAAACGATGCATCTAGTAGCCTGGTAAAGATGTGTATTGTTCCCTTTCTAAAGATAGAAAGTAGGCGCTCAAAGAGGCACCATCCCCCAGGAAGGGCAAAGCCTCCACTCCTGGTGTGGCTCACACAACACCCTCACTCTCTCCACCGGGATAGACTGTCCCTGGCACATCCAGCCTTTGGGAATTGAATCCAAGATTATTTTAAAGGATTATAAAGATGGCAAAGCGATTCCCCCTCAGGAAGCCCCTCTTGCATCTGTGTGCCTGAAGCCAGACTCTAAGGGACGTGAATGGTTTGCTAAATTTGGGCAAAACCCTCATCTTGATCAACTGATAGGTCGATTGACTGACTAAATAAACCTACTGTGTCAAACGTGGATCAGTGCAGACTTTAAGAAAGAAATCTCCTAAGTTGAACTTAGGACCTCAAATAATTCTTAACATCAGAGACAAAAATGGTTTGATGTAACCGTAGACTATGGGGTGCCCAGATGGTCGGTATGTGGGTCTTTAAACAGTGACCACTGTCCTCTCCCCAGTCCTCCAGGAGGAGCTGTGGGGCCCCAGAAAGTTGTCAGGGTGGGGATGCTGGCAGTGTCTGCCCTGGTGACCCTTGGACCACAAGAGGACCCAGGGCCTGTGTGATGGGAAGGAGCCCTCCGTGCAGAGAGGAGCAGGGGTCGGGGAGCTGGCTGAGCCACACAGGTCTGCCTTCCCACGGGGACAGCCAAAAATCCAGCTTCTCTAATCAGTTTAGTTAATGGTACAAATACCTCATATTGCAGCACTCTAAAGATGAGGACTGGAATGACGTGTCTCCAAATCCAATCAATGGCCACATGCTCTGAGCTCTGAGTGCCCTGAAGTCAGCCAGACTGAGCTGCTGTCATGGGAACTGCAAAAGGCTGCACAGCCCAGGCGCTCCCCCCAGGGCATGTGACAGTGCTGATGTCAACCACCCAGCCCAGATGCAGGGCGGAAATGCAGAGCCACGAGGAAATGATGCTATAAGACGGGGAGGAATATTCTTTCTAAAATGCAAGTTCCTTGTGCTCTGTGAGAAAACCTTTCAGGGGTTCTCAGTGCCGTCAAGTACAACACACTTGAACTTCCCGTCCCCCCATGTAGGCTGGAGCTCACCCCCCAGGCTTTGTCTATGCTCTGCCTTCTGCCTGCCCTGCCCTTCCCTTCTCCCCCTTTCACTTTGCAGACTCCCCCCGACATGTGGTCACACCTGCCTCAGATACCACACCCCCTGGGAAGCCCTCCTGACCCCTGAGTGCTCTTCATGGTGCCATGACATAGAACCCCCATTTCCACTCTAGCCCCCACCTCCATGCCTGGCATGTCACTCACGCAATAAACACGCACGGCAGGAATAAAGGTGAGCCTGAAGCAGCACTCTCCTGTCCCTCTCTGACCCAAGAACTCAGCCACAGAGCTGAGCCACAGAGCGGCGGTTCATGCCTGATGAAGGCCAGCGATGGGACGTACAGACGCTCACACCCGCAGATTGTCTGGTGAGTCCCTTGATGCCTACCTCTTCCCTGACTGCCAATCTCATGAGGACGAGGACCATGTGCTTTGTTTGCCACTGGACCCTTAGCACCTGGCACAGCTCTGGGCTACAGAGAAGGCACACGGGATGTGCAGAATGGGACATGTGACACCCAGCCCCCATCCCCACCCCCGGTCCTGAAGTTCAGCTGTCTTTTTAGTAGGAGCTAAGGGGAGCCACAGCCCTAGCAGAACAGGCCGGCAGAACCTGCTGCTGCTGGGCTTGAAAGCACACGGGAAAAGTCACCTCATTGGCAGGCTCCAGCCCCGCTCCTCACTCAGACCCAGCTGAGGAGGCCCGCAGGTCTGGGACCTCCGAGTGACGAATGTTGAGCTTCCAGGGAACCTCAGCCAGGAAGGGCTCCAGGTCACCCAGAGCATTTTAGATGCGGTGCAGGAAAAAAGACTGAGCCAGCCAAAGCAGCCTTCCTGTAGCAAACGTGGGTGCTACTATTTGGGGAATACACTTATCTAGTCATGTCATTGTACCTATTGTGGCCTTGACACTAGAGAAAGAATATTTTAGTTCAGCATATAGAAGTCTGGAGATGCAAGGGGGTTTTACCAGCCACAAAAAGGAATGCAGCACTGCCACATGCTCCAGCATGCTTAAACTGTGAAAATACACACCAAAGGTCACACCCTGTGTGACTCGAGTTATAGGAAATGTGCCCAAGAGACGAATCCCTGAAGCAGACAGAAAGCAGACAGGTGGCAGCCCGGGGTTCAGGGGTGTAAGGGTAGATTCGGGGAAGTGGTGAGGTGGGGCGCTGATTAAGGGCAAGGCATTTCTTTGGGGGTGATCAGAATGTTCTTAAATCGTTTGTGGTGATGGTTGCACAATTCCATGTACCTACTAAAAACCATTGATTTGTACGTTTGAATGAGTGAATCGTGTGGCTTGGGCGTCACATCTCAATAAAGCTGTATCAAGAGTAACAACCACACAAGGCTGGAGATATTTGTCAGGGGAAAAAGGTATCAAGCTCTTCTTTAGAGAACTCTTTTCTTTCCTTTGCTTTGTGCTCATTAAAAAAAAAAAATCAACGTATTCGTCTTACAAAGTAGAGATCTACAGTTCCCTCAGAAGAATAACGAACGGCTGGCTTTTAAGTCGTTTTATGGAATTAGAATCTAAACAAAGCAAGCATTTCATTCTATTATTTAAAGACACTAGAAAAACAAAGTAATGCTGTCATATCACCCTTTTAATTGACTCGGGGTAAGCATTTGATCTGTTGACTCAGTGCTGAGGGTACGTAGATAAAAGAGCTGTTGGCAGCACAGACGGTTAGTCATTTCAGGCCCCAGAGCAGCTCTAGAAGGTTAAGTAGGAGCCAGGCCATTCTTCGGTGAGCTTGCATGACACACCAATAAATTTTCAAGCTGCGTAAGAACCCAGATTGCAATCGCTGTTCCCGGTGACCTCCGCGTTCTCTCTCCTTGCTAGTCCTTCCCCTACCCCCACCTCCTGCCAATCACATTGCTACGGCCTTAAACTCTGACCAAAGAAAATTCTATGACTTATCTGATGTGAATGCCATAAACAAGAATCAGGACTAGAGAGGGGTTCTGGAACGTCTGGGGTGGCCACGCTGTCTCAGAAGGGGAGTCCTTTGGCTCCTTGGCTCCATGCAAACTGCTTTGGTTGACACAATCGTCACCTCCCAAAGAGGCAGCGTCTTGGAGTAGCTGGGTCAGGGCTCATTCTTACCGCATGCGTAGGTAACTGTGAGGTATTTCTTCACTCCTGGCAGGCAGGGGCTTCCGAAATGGTGATTGTTGACGGGGATCTTGCATCTCTGCTTCCCGTAGCACCTTCTGGACAGGACTTGTAAGGCGGAGTAAGACACACAGTCTGAAAGGGAAAATGAACTTTAGGGTTCATTCCACACCAGGCTGCCACCAGCGATGGCACCTCTGTAAGTACATACACAGACTTCAAATCAGATGAAGGTAGTTCCCCTGCTTATGCTTTATTCTCATTAAAGAACCCAACCTGGCAAATGCCATAATATCAATCTTCTTTATAGCTGCATAATATTCCATTGTGTATATATATACCACATTTTCTCTGTCATGCTTAGTGAAATAAGCCAACCTTTCAACCTTTCCCACTCTTTGGAATATTTAATTTGTTTATTCTAAGTCTCCCTCTCCCCTACATGAACATAAGCTCTGTGAAGGAATACTTCTCTCTTGTTTATCATCTAACTGCTACTGCCTGGCCCACTGCAGGAGCCCAATAAATAACTGATGAATGAATAAATGAAATGAAATAATAAAGACAAAAAATGTGTTTTCCCACCCCCTGACACAATGCCATCGTAGTTAGTATTAACTGAACACTGATTTCTCTGGTTTCCATGCGTCCCCCATACATAGATCATGTGTTGGAAACTTGACCCTCAAAGTCATCTGATAGTGGTGTGTAGAGGTGGGGCTCTTTAGCTCTTTAGGATTAGATGAAGTCATGAGGGGGTGACCCCCATAATGTCATTCATTCATGCTTTTACAAGAAGAGGAAGAGAGACCCAAGCCAGCAGGATCACTCTGTCTCACCATGTGAAACCCTCTGCATTAGAACCAGAAAGAAGACTCCTGGACTTTTCAGCTTCTAAAACCTTGAACCAAATACACTTCTATTCTGTATAAATTACCCAGTCTCAGGTGTTTTATTATAGCAACAGAAAATGGACTATTATACCTATAGAGGATGACGTGCTGTGCTATGTACTGTTGGGAAAAAAAACCCAAGAAGACCCCTCCCTTGCCTTCTCAGGATGTGCAGTGGAGTTGGAGAGACAAAACCCATATGTGAGACCAGTGTCTAATAGGTCACCAAGGGACACCGTGAATGAATGTCAGCAAGGAGTGGTCCAGAAAAGAGGTCCTTGAGATCAAGAGCCAGAGGGATCACTGTGGACCAGAGAGGTCAAGACAGGCTTTGGGGTGGGGAGGGGCTTGGCCATGGAAGAAACAGAATGAGTTGGCAGAGGCAGGCCAGAGGGAAATGTATGAACAGAGGTGAGAGGACCAGGAGCAACCCAGGGGCTGGCCGTGAGCTGCAGGAGTGTGTGGGTGGGGCTGGGCAGGACGGAGACGGCCTCTGACTGCTCAGCTAACGCATTTGAACTTCCTTCTGCAAGCAACTGGCGGCCTCAAGAAATGGCCTGACACTAAAGACCCCTGGGGTCAGGGGACAGGATGACCTGGAGAGAAATGGAAATAAAGACGGGGACAACAGTCTGGAATCCATTTTAAGTATGCACAGTGGGGGCAGCTGAGGGTTTGAAGAGCAGGGAATGGAAAGGGAGGGAATTTTAGAGACCTTGCAAAATTCAACCAAGTTGTAATGCTATGATGACAACTGACATTGGGCCAGGACTGTTCTTAACAGCCTATGTTAATTGATTTAATGTTCCCAATGGCCCTATGAGATAGGCTTTTGATCACACACACACACACACACACACACACACATTTTAGGGATGAGAAAGTTCTAGAACCTCACAGAGCTAGAGAGTAGTGGGACATGGACATGAAAATTGCCAAGGCTCCTGAACCTGCCCGACTGAGCTCTGAGCTCTGTTCTCCAGGTGTCTGGTGGAGCGCAGGTGAGGGAGCTCCCCAGACCAGGGAAGATCTTGAGCTGTGGGCCTGGGACGCTGTGGTGCTGCTGACCATGATCGAGGAAGCCGTAGGAATGGGCAGTCTGCAAACAAGAAATACCGTCCTGCATTCAAGATGGAAGGGGGCTTTCAAGAGGACGTGTAGATGTGGAGGCGGCCAGGACAGGCTCAGGCTGGGGAGACCAGGGGCTGGTGGTCAGGGGAACAGAAGCAGGAGTCGTGTGTGTGTCTGCTCATGTCTTACAGGACAAGCTCCTCATCCTCCTCTCCAACAACCCCCTGCCCTCCCCTACCCAGGCCTGTCCCCGTCCTGGTCTCTCTCCTTCTGGAAAGGGTCGGCTGTGCCCCTTGCCTCTGCTGCACCTCCCCACTCCTCAGTGTCCTCTGTCCCACCCATGCCCTGAAACTGATCCCTTTCCGAGGATCACAGGAACCAACAATTGTCACATCCAAGAGGTGGAAGCCAATCCCAGTTTCTCTCTGTCTCTGGAACTTCTGGTGCCTGAGCTCTTGTTGGAGGATTTCTTCCCAACCTTGGTGCCCTGGTGCCCTTTACCCCAGTTTGTCTCCAATTCCTCTACCCAGAGCCTCTGCAGTGCTGCCACCCAAAGCAAGCTCACTCCCTGATCTGGGCTCTCTCTCCCATGTCCTCCGTCTGGGCTGCAATTCTATCCCTGTTGCTGCCAAACCACTGGACTGCAGCTTTCAGTGGGGCCCATCTTCAGAAGACCTTGAGCAATGACTGCCCGGACTGCACTTGTGGAACAGCTCCCTCCGGTGTGTGGACCAAATGTATCGTCTCGCCCATTCCCCTGCCAACATCCAGGCAGCACCACTCTCCCCTGCGGGCTCTCCAGGTTACATTCCTGCTGCCTGCCTGTCTCTGTGGCTGGTAGAAACACTTTCACAGGAGCCTTAATGGGAAGCCTCTGCTCCCCCCTCCTCCTCCTCACACCCTCCCATCTGATGCAGGACATGAGGAGCCAGGAGGATTAGAGAGAAGAAGGTGAAAGGGAAGAGGATACCTGATGAAGGGGGGGGAGGTGCAGGAGGGGAAGCCCTGAAAGCCAGGGCCCAGGGGCAGCAGGGCCGGAGGTGGACAGTCAGGCCAACAGAGAGCCAGCGGGTCGGGGGATGAAGCGTGCCCTGGATGTGCTCATCTGGTGCTTTCAGAATGGGCCACGAAAACGTGGGTCAGGCTCTGGGAGGGCTTGGGAGGAAGCAGCATCACCCATAAGTGTGTGGAGTGAACAAATGACCCTGGACCAAAGTGGACAGTTTGTCGTGACCCAGCCCTCACTGTGGGTGAGTGGCACTGGAGATGGCAGGGGACATGAGTTCCTCCGGTGGGGCTGGCTGGGCGTGCACAGAGGCACAGCTGTGGGTGGTGATGGGTTAGGTCTTACAGAAGCCACGGTATGGGCACAGAAGCCAGGTGGGGTTGTGCTGTGGCTGGAGGTGTCCCCCAGAGTCTGTGTGCTGTATACTCACTCCCCAAATTCATATGTCGATTGGTACATGGAGGTGGGGCCTTGGGGGGTGACTAGGATTAGGTGAGGTCATCATGGTGGGGCCCCCATGATGACATTAATGGCTTTATAGGAAGAGGAAGATAGATCTGAGCTAGCCCCATTGCTCTGTCTTGTCCCGATGCCCTTCACTGTGTTATGACACAGCAAGAAGACCCTCACCAGATGCCATGTCCTTGGACTTCCTGGCCTCCAGAATGGTAAGCTAAATTCTTTGTAAATTAGCCAGTCTGTGGTATTTTGTTATAGTAACAGAAAACAACCTGAAGCTAAAATCATAAATCAATAAATGCATCTGCTGAGAAAAAAAAAGGGTTAGGAAAAAAAGCAAGCAATGGAGGGATTCAGGGCACAGGTAACCTCAATGGCTGATCCACAGAGAGGATAATGCATGTGATCAAACGGGCCAGTACAGACGTTCAATCAATAAATGGCGGCTCCTTTGCCAAGGATGCTGGCATCAACTATATTCCAAGGAGCCCCAGCATTCTCAGGAAGCACCTTGGGGACTACACAGGGTAAGTAAAGGGAAGGAGCACGTTTCATGAACGCTCTGCTTTCATCTCTGGATCCGCTGAAGAGCTGTCAAAGAGTCTGGGAAAAGAAATCTCTACGGCTGACCACTAAAATCTCCAGTGGCTAAACACTAACCATAGGAAAGACAATGACCTTAAGGAAAAGACAATCAAATAAATGTATTTGGCCCTCTGTATCTCCAAGTTTCACATCCAAACAACCACCCGTAGAAAATATTTTTTAAATTCCCGAAACTTCCAAAAAGCAAAGCTTGAGTTTGCTGCACTCTGAGTACTATGCTGACTCCACGAGAATGAAGTGGTGCAAAGCATTCTATTAGATAATAGAAGTGACCTTCAGATGATCTGGAGTTCACAGAGCACGTGCACGGTCGGTAGGCAAATACCACAGCATTTCATTTAAGGGCCCGGGGGGTCCTGAGCCATCCCCAGCAGGTACTGAGGGATAACTGTATACGCATCACCACTAATGGTGAGGACTGTTATAAAAGGAAGGATTTGGATATATTCTTGAAAGTTCTGATCTATTTTGTTAAGAACAATTCCACAAAGCCTGATAATCAGGGTGCTGGTCACACAGCAGGAACTTGACCAATAGGTATTTAACAAATGAACTATTGCATTGAAATAAACAGCCTGGCCCATCAGGCAATGCACACACCCCATGTATCTGGCTCTAGAATGTGGGGTTTGCGGGGAAGGGGAGCCCCTGATCTGTACGTCGGAATCTGGGCTGAGAAGAGCTGTCTCCAGGGAAGTTGTTCACCTGTCATTCTTCTGAGTGCCGCGTGGGTCAGCTCTCAGCCATCCCCCCTGGGCTTGGAGTGAATCCATCCTTCCCTGCCGGCCTCAGAACACTCCAGCCTAAAGGAGGCAGCTTGCCAGGCATCCTCTCTTGGTTCCGTCTGAGTGACAAGTACCCAGAGCAAGTCAAGAAGTTGATAAAGCTGGAACAGACTGTTTTACGAGCCTGTCTACAGCAGGTGCCAGAGATGTCAAGTACATCCTTGGGAAGAGCAGGTTCCCCTCTACTGCAGGTTGAGCATCCATAATCCCCAAATCTGAGACCCCAAATGCCTCAAAATCTGAACTTACTGAAGGCCAATGTGACCACCCCGTGGAAAATTTCATACCGTGAAATTTTATTTCCTCCACAAAATT